CAGGGTCATATAAACAAGGATGTTGCATTTAACAATGTCAATGAAAATGAAAATGAGGGCTTCCCTGGTGGTGTAGCGGGTTAAGCCCAGTGTTGTGAGGCTGTCCACAGCCTCTGCAGCTTGAGTTTGATCCCCAGCTGGCCAGGATGCAACCAATACGGCGCAGCAGACCTCTCCTGACTCGCCCACTGTTCCCCTCAGCAGTGTACTTCGGTCTATTTGCCTGTTCTGTTCCCTGCTCTTGTTTCTGGTAGATCCTCTCACCTCCCACACCTCTGGCTGTACCCCAGTTCTGTAATCATAAAATAAATAAATCTTAAAAAAAAAAAAAGAAAATGAAGCAAAGAAATAGTGCCTTTATTTGGTCCTCAAGAAATTACAAAATGGCCATTTATTCCTTACATTATAAATATTTGGTTTATTTTGGCATAAGATAGCCAGGTTAAACTGCTTTTAGGAATCTGAGGATTACATTGTACTTACATTGTCTACTTAGCAAATTACGTGTTTCTGTATTTCAAAATCAGATGTACTGAAGCCAAGATACTAAAAAAGTGAGGTGGGATAAAAACATTCTTAGAAAGAGTAAATGAGCTAACAGATTTCCAGGCTGCAAGCTTTAAAAAAAAATTAATTTCACATTAAAAACTATTGTCTTCCCTGTATATAGATGCATCTACACTGTTTTTAGTTTAAAACAGAATTAATTGTTCATTATTCAAATATCCTTAGAATGGATACATGGATAGAAAATATGTGCTGGCAATGACAGAACATGCCTTATTTGTTATTTACATAAAAGTTTTTTCGCCTCAATATAAAAGCCATACATACATACTATAAAAACTACAAAAAATCCAACTAGAATAAAAAAAGGGGGATATTAATACTTATTTTTTTGCCTTTTCAAATTATTTTTCATGCACATGCTGGTTTTTAAAAATGGGAATGAAGTTGAATAAACATTTTTAGGTATCATAAGCACTTTAAATATTGTTCATCATGTTTTCAGCAATTATGGCTACAAAACACTACTGTGCTGATGTTTCATTCTCTATGTCCTTATATAATCTGGGATGTGAGTCTATATCTCAATGCATAGGAGAAAATTTACACTAGTTATAAATTTAGTTTGTACAATAAATAGTAGTGTCTCATATTTGCCCTATCCCAGCATATTTTTGCCCTATCCCAGTATATTTTTTTCTTTGAGGATATTACTTTCCTATCTCTAAATAAACTGCTTTTTAATGGTAGTCTGCATTTTTTAGTTTTATCCACCATTTATTGGTTTCTCATTTTGAAGACTGGGTTCTCTTTACCACTATCCCAGCCTTAACACCACATGCATCCTGTTCTTCTATTGTTCTAACACTGCTTTATCGATAAAATTTTTACTACTTACATTATCTTGATTATTAAATTCTAATTATAGCTGATAAGTGTTATACTATGATTGTTTCCTTTTACAACTTCATTACGGAGTTAAAGGGTATCTTTTTGTTTTGATTTTCTGTGCATTGATGACATCCTCATTTTTTCTATTGTATAAATTTCTTTTTGTTTCAATAAACTCAAAAACATTAAGCAGTCTACTGATTTCATTTTCTTAGACTCATTTCTTTTGGAATATTCTCAACCAATATGGACTGGTTACTTTTTTCTATCATTTGTTTTAGTTTCTCTAACTTCATTCTAGGGAATCTTTGATCTCTTTATACTGTATCCCCAAAGTTTTGGATGCCAAATCTTCATTTTTCTTGCTTAACAATTCATTTTATTTACGTATGTAATAACATGAGAAAAATTCTGAAACTTTGCCTACCTGAAAATGGGTTTTTATAGTAGAAAATTCTACTCTAAAAAAATTTATGAGCAATCTCACTAGAGGTAAAATATTTTTTGAGCTTTGACTAAAGGTAAATTTATAGGCTGGTGTGGTACAATAAAAATCATATCTGGTCTTTGTTGCTTTGTTACTGGCACAGTGTTTCAAAAACACTTGAAATTTTCCGAGTTTTGTCATACAAATGACGTGACTCAGGGAGGATTTTCTAGACAGCTTCTAGTTGGGTGCTGATCACCAGAAAAACCAACCATGTGAATAGAAAATTGGAAACTCTGGGCCAGACTGACATCCTTGGAGAGATGTCAGAGGCTGGAAATTGAGTTAAATCACATAGTCATTTATTTAAACAATCTTGCCTACATACTGAAACCCCAATGAAAACAAACTCCAAAGCTAAGGTGGTGAACAAACGACATGCTGGGTGAGTGACATATCCAGATTCAAGCAGGAGAAGCACAGAAGTTCTGCCATCCTACATCCCTCACCTTCCCCAGATTTTGCTCTACATGCTTCTTCATTTGGCTGTTCCTGATCTCTAATCATTAGAGTAACACCATAATTTTAAGTATAGTAACTTCTCTTCTGAACTATTCTAATGAATTATTAAATTTGAAGAGATTATGGGAAGCCACAAATTTGTTGCAAACTGGGCAGAAATATAGGTGACTTGGGAACACCTCAATTCTGTGGCTGGCATCTTAATAGGGGGCAGTCTCATAAAGGACTAGCTCTTAATATATGCTAACACTAGTTATTTGAACTGAATTGTACTGCACTATACCAACCTGGAATTTAGAGCAAGCTGGGCAGAGTACAGGTGGCCTGGGGACAACTGAAATACCTAAAGTCAGGGTAGGTAGTCTTGTGAATGACTTTGCACTTAAATGTGGGGTCTATGTTAACTCTGGGTAGTTAGTGTCAAATTTAACTCAACTGTAGGACACCCAGTGGTGGCAGAGAATTGATGATTGGATACAGCTGGAAGTAATTTTCAGAAATTGTTACCCTACTTCTGAACTTCCAGTGTTGCTGTTTATAAATTTAGAGCATTTATATTCTTATTTCTTTAGGTGAAACTTGTTTTCTTTGCCTTCTCTAGAAGGAATTTATTTTTATCCCCAGTAATCTGAAATTTCATTATATTTCATTAAATGAGCTTAGTGTGGGATCATTTTCATCTGTGGTGTTGGATAATTAAGAGACCATTTTATTTGGAAAACTGGCATGCCTCAGTTCTGCAGAATTTAATTTCTATGACTTTCTTCCTCTAGTTTATCCATTTTCTTTCTGGATTTCTTTTTATTTGGATACTGAACCCTCCTAGAATGATTCCCTGATTTTTTTTCTTTTCTATTTTCTATCTCATTGTCTTTTGTGTTCTACTAAGAAATTTATCTCCTGATGTTTCCAGGTTTTCATTTCTGTTATTACAATTTAAATTCCTAAGAACTTTTTAAAAATTCTTGAATATTCTTCTGTATACCATTCTTTTCTTGCCTTATGGATTCACTATCTTTTCATATCTGAAAATATTGTTAGTTTCATTTTTTAAAGTTTTCCTCTTCCTGGGGCCTCCCCGGGGCGTAGCGGGTTGAGCGCAGCACTGTGGGGTTGTCCGTAGCCTCTGCAGCATGGGTTCAATTCCCGGCCAGCCAGGGAGATTCCCACATGGCGCAGCAGACCTCTCCTGTCTTGCCCGCTGCACCCCTCGGCAGTGTATTTCCATCGTCTGCCTGTTCTGCTCCCCACTCTGTCTCTGGTGAATCCTCTCATCCTCTCGCGCCTCTGTACCCCAGCTCTTGTATAAAAATAAATAAATTTTAAAAAAAGGTCAATATTTTAAAAAAATTAAAAAAAAAGTTTTCTTCTTCCTGCACAGCATCTATTTCCATTAAATATTAGAATTTTTCTTAAAATGTCTGGTGGTCTTTACCAGATACATACATGTATGTATGTATCCACACATTTTTTTTGCCACCAATAAATAAGAGTTTTTATTAGTATGTGATTGGTTATATTTATAAGAATTCTTATCACATAAGCATAAAGTTTTAAGATCTGCTCTTTTCATTTAATGTTGTAAGAATTATCCTCTCAATTACAATGCACTTAGAAGCTGGAAGAGATAAAATTGAATTCTCCCATACAATGTTAAGAGGCAGTGGGGCAATACTGACACTTTGATTACATATTTAAAAATTTATGAAAAAATTAAATGAAGCTCTATAACCGAGGGATGGAGCTTTTTAATTACAGCTATCTGGCAGGGTGGTCCACTGAGGCTGTTTTATTGGGGAACCCTCCAATGTCAGTAACTTGAAATTTCCACCCTTTCGGGGATTGTTCAATAACATTTTTAGAGAAGCTGTTGCCAGAAATTTGTGAATACTATAAAGTCTGGATGTTACTGGGGGTTTCAGCACTCTTAAGTAAATTTTCACTTAGTTATGGTCCCCTGCCCCCCAAACAAGTAGGTTATCCCTATCCAAGATCCTTTGTTTTAGCCTTTCCAGTCTCTCAGCTGTGCAGAGTTGAAGAAGAGACTTCATATGTTTTTTTAAAAGAAATTTACAATCATCTCTTGCTTTTAGCTCTTTTTTTTATCTTCACACTGGGGATATCTGGTATAACCAATTCTGAAAACTTTGAAAACATGACTGTGAAATGGGTTGCTTCATGACCTCCTACTGCTCACTTAGCAAGCAATTCTCTACATTATGCTAGAACAGGCATTTGTTTTCCTGCTTTCCAGTTTTCCAAATTTCATTGTCACCCTTCCTAGTCTTTGTGTCTTGTTTTTCATCTTATCCCTTTACTGTCATTTTAATGAGGTTTGTGGAATAAGCATAAATAAACATATATGATCACTTTTACTATGGATTATATATGGTAACAGTAAATACATGGTTAACAATAGTCAAGTTACCAGATTATAGGTAAATTAATACCTGAAGTGAGTACATTTACTTATGGCTCTAAAATTTTAACTGCCTAAAAGATGTGAAGAAACCAAAGTAATCAAGGTTTTTTATAATTGTGTCCAAATTCTCTAGCAGAAATCTTTATTTCAATAATGTCTCGTTACCTATGCATATTTTCTTTTCTTAGATTAACTACATTTATTCTTGCAAACAAAAGACAATTTACTAACCTCTGTTTCTGTCGCTTGGGACTGTAAAAGCTGTCGTATACGAAGTATATCCTTCTCTATTTGTTGAATTCTGGTTACTCTTCGCTAAATAAAAGAAATGACTAAATTAGACATATTTTTATTAACAGTATTAACAATTATATGACAGTGTTAACAATCAGTGACGGCTACCATTTAACAACTTAGGGTTATACCAAACCATCCTTACATAAGAAGTTATGTCATCTGTTCACAAACGAATGACACCCTAGAGTTCATTCAATACATTCAAGTTCAGTATTTTAAGACATCTACTTTTATATAACAGATCTCTGTACCTGTTCAGGAAAAATTTACAAATACAAGTCATATATCGAGTTGTATAATGCATGCAGTGTGAAAATTGGCATTTTAAAATGCATTCTCAGCAGTGTATTTCGTCAGTCTGCCTGTTCTGTTCCCTGCTCTCTCTGGTGAATCCTCTCATCCTCCTGTGAATTTGGCCTGTACCCCGGTTCTTGTACAAATAAATAAATAAATAAATAAATAAATAAATAAATAAATCAATCTTTAAAAAAATAATAAAAATTTATTCTCCTTGGCCTCCCTGGTGGCGCAGGTGGTTGAGCGCAGCGTTGTGAAGCTGTCTGCAGCCTCTGCAGTGCCAGTTTGATCCCTGCTGGCTGCGGAGATGACCACATTGCAAGGCAGACCTCTCCTGTCTCGCCCGCTGCTCCCCTCAGCAGTATAGTTCATCAGTCTGCCTGTTCTGTTCCCCACTCTGTCTTTGGTGAATCCGCTTACCCTCCCACACATCTGGCCTGTACCCAGTTCTTGTATAAATAAATCTTTAAAAAAATTTAAAATTTATTCTCCTTGTTTTTTCTCTCTCCCCAGCCATCTTGGTGGCTGCTCTTGTTTGAGAGCTGTATGGTATACAAGGAAGAAAAATGGTGACCACAAAGAAGATGAAATAGTAGCTAGAGTCGATCAACTCGAGGTTCCAACTTGTTATGAAAAGTGGAAATTACATAGTGGGACACAAGCGGACTCCCAATGTGGTTAGACAAAACAAAACTGGTCATCCTTGCCAACAACTGTCCAGCCTTGAGGAAATCTGAAATACACTATTACACCACTGTTGGCTAGAACTGGTGTCTATCACTATAGTGGCAGTAATGTTGAAGAGGGTACAATGTGTGGGAAAAAATAGAGTATGCACGCTGGCTATCAGTGATGTAGCATTAGAAGCATGCTAGAACATACCGATGAAAAGTAAATCACACAAAATTTCTCTTTAATGAAACTAGCCCAAATTTGTTTATAATAAAGTTATTCTGAAAAATTTCTTAACAAAGAGAAAACTACACCTGAATTTAATCTTCCATGCTAATACAGATTCTAACATAATAGATCTACATACCGCCTGGTATGCCTGTAAAGGGAAAGATGTTTTAATAAACATCAGTTTAAAGAGTAGGATTAACCTTTCCCCAAATTACTCTTATTGTCAGTGAGCAGTACTTTTCAGAGTTAGCTTTTTGTTTTATGATGAAAAAACCCAGCATTTTTATTCCTAACACAGGATCAAAATGATGGTGGAACTTTTGCTTACTCACTAACCTGAGACCATCAAGTGAAACACAAGCAGTAATTACATATCAAACAATGTGAAATTAAAACAATGTGGGAAAAGTTTTCAAAAAAGCTAAATGTTGTTTCAATTTTTATGAACACTAGGGGCAAAGGGGAAAAAACAAATCACTTATATTTAACAATATTACAAACTGAATTATTTTAAGTTGACTTTATGATAGATGAAATAAACAGGTTTTAAAAATTAGTACTGCCGGGCCTCCCCTGTGGCGCAGCAGTTGAGCGCTGGGCTGCAAAGCTGCCTGCAGCCTCCGCAGCACCGGTTCGATCCCCGCCCACATGGCGCGCAGACCTCTCCTGCTGCCCACTGCTCCTCTCAGCAGTGTACTTCTTCACTCTGCCTGTTCTACTCTCCGCTCTGGCTCTGGTGATTTCTCTTACCCTCCCGCACCTCTGACTGTACCCAGTGCTTGTATAATTAAATAAATAAATAAATAAATAAATAAATAAATAAAATCTAAAAAAAAAAAAACAAAAACAAAACAACAACCAAAAAAAACACTAGCACTGCCAGTAATTTTTTGCAATAATTCTATAGCTGACATCCTAATAGTCAAACATTAACAGTTATAAGAATAATTGTTTCAATGAGGAAAAAGTGTCAGAAGCTAAATGGAGTTGTTTCCAATCTTTTTTCAATTATGCACCTCACAAATAAAAGCATTTTTTATCCCTATAGATAATAAAAGCACTTAAACAAAATTTTAAGCAGTTATGAAACTTAGATACAAAACTTATCCTTTGATCATATCTACTTTTCTTAAATATAATATTCTCATGATTTTCTTATTGCCATAGCAAAAGTATTTATTGCTATTATTCAACATTATGATAAACAGAGAAGCTCAAAGAAGCTGTGCTCACCAACAAAAAAATCTTTCTTTTCTTTATAATTGTACATCTATGTTGATTCTCTATCATGAGTCTGAAAATAGTGAAATTTAGGTAAATAATATTACCTCTAACAAATCTTACCATGTCCAATTTACATCATGAAAATATTGCTGAAGGAGAAATGCCTGTTATTTTTGGGAGTTTTTTAAGATTCTGCAGTGAGGAGTGATGACTTCTATAACCAGATGGTAAATATTTTCTGGCTTCAAAGAAACAACCAAACTAGAGCACAACTAACAGGTATCAAAATTTTAAAAAACTATGACAAACATAACAAATGTGTATCAGTGCAGGCACAGAAAAACTAAAATAAACTAATGGAACAGAGTCCAGACATATCCAGCAAATATAATAGCTTATGGCAGAGATGGCACTGCTAATCAATAGGGAAACAATGGTGTATTTAATAAATGACAATGGGAAATTTAGTTAACAACTTATATAAATTTAGTTAACAACATGCATATATATTTAAAATTAGATACAGATATAAAAATCATATTATGTGTGTATATCTATATGATTAGATCCCTTCTTTCAAAACATACATGATAGCAAATTCCAGATGAATCAAAGACCTAGTTGTAAAAATAAAACATTATAAATATTATAAATAATAGGAGGCTTTGTGATATTTACATTATCTCAACAGATTGGTATCAGGAGGCTATTAAAAGATCTCTCAGACAGGGCCTCCCTGGTGGCGCGAGGGGTTAAGACGCAGCCTGTGAAGATGTCCACAGTCTCTGCTGCACAAGTTCGATCCCCAGCTGGCCAGGGAGCAATCCACATGGCGCAGAAGACCTCTCCTGACTTGCCTGTCTCCCCTCAGCAGTGTACTTCTGCTGATCTACCGGTTTTGTTCCCTGCTCTGTCTCGGGTGAATCCTCTTACCCCTCACACCTCTCGCCTGTACCCCTGCTCTTGTATGCATAAATAATCTTAAAAAAAAAAAACAACTCTCAAACATACACAAATAAGACATTTTAACATAATAAAAATGGTCAAAAGAAAGAAAATCTAAAAGTCTGATAAGTATGGAAAAAGATATTCAATTTCAGTAGTACTCAAGGAAATGTATAAACTAAATGACAAGATGTTTTATTGTCCACTGACTGTTTTTTTTTTTTTTTAATAGAGGCATGTTTTATTTATTTATTTGTTTGTTTGTTTGTTTTTTGTTTATACATGCACTGGGTACAGTCAGAAGCGCGGGAGGGTGAGAGAATTCACCAGAGCCAGAGCGGGGAGCAGAGCAGGCAGAAGGACCGAAGTACACTGCTGAGGGGAGCAGCGGGCGGCAGGAGAGGTCTGCGCGCCATGTGGGACCCTCCTCCGGTGGCCAGGGAGCAGCCGGGGATCGAACCGGCGCCGCAGAGGGCGCGGGCAGATTCGCAACCCAGCGCTCAACCGCTGCGCCACCGGGGAGGCCCTGTCCACTGACTGTTAAATAGAAAGTCTGACTCACAGAGTTTGAAGATATGCAGAAGAAACAGGAATTCTCATGTACTACTAGTAGAAATGTAAATCAGTACTTTGAAAGCTATTTGGTAAACTCTATTTGAAAACACTCATACCTACGGTCAGCAATTATGCTTTTAGATACATACCCAAAAGTAGAGCTTGGCAAACTAGGGCTTACTAGCCATCTGTTTTTGGGAATTGAGTTTTGTTGAGACATAGTCATGCCCATTTACTTGCACACTATCACCTATGGCTGCTTTCTTACTGAAAAGGTACAGACGAGTATTTGTAACAGAGTCTAAAATACTTTCTATCTGGCCCTTAAAGAGAAAGATTGCAGGCTCTCAAATGACACCCTTGCACATGTTCATAAGACATGAGCAAGTATGTTCATCAGAGTTCTTTTGAAAAATTACAAACAATCCAAATGTCCATCAGCCGGGAAGGAGGTAAACTGTATCATCCATATAATTAAAAAATTTTATGGCAATATTAATATGTTAAGTAACCTCTGCCACACCAATCCCTACTTCTTAGAAGTAAGCTCTATTAACAACTTGATGTATATTTTCCCTGCTTTTGCTTACATGTATATAAGAGTAGGGGACAGCATGCCAGTGTTCAATGTGTTGAACAAACAAGAGTAAATAAATAAATAAATAAATAAATAAATAAATAAATAACAAGGTGTTAACAGAGGTAAATGGAGACCAAGGAGAGAAGAATTTGTTTTGAGTTGTTATCAGTAATTTGTGTATTTTACTGGTCTTCTGTAGCTCCTTTTCAGTAAGTTGATTATATCCTTTGCCATTTAAAAAAAATTGTCTTTCTCTTATTAATTTGTAGGAATTCTTATACTTTAGGGATAGTAACTTCTTTTTCTTTATATATTACAAAGTTTCCCTTTAGTATATCTCCTGCAAGAGCAATACTTTTTTCCCCTTTGTTTTTGAGTTTCTGTAATTACTTAAGGTCTCTGTTGTCTGGTATTTTCTTCTATTAATTTTACATTTATGTCTTACATTTATATACATTTATATTTTTACATTTGTATAAAAACATTTATATTTTTGTACAAAAATATAAAACAG